GGGGAGTTAAGTAGGGGAACCAAAGAGCAAGAATTAGAAAATTAAATTAGAGATTAGAATACTAAATTTTTACATTTTTAAAATTAAAAAAAATGTTAAATCAGTAGTGTTTCCTATAAGCGGTTTCAAATCCAAAGGCTGGCTGAGTAATCATTTATGTGACCAATATAGATGAACAATGCGGGTAATTCACAAAAGAGTGATCCCAAACCACCCCACCTGGAATTAAGACATTCTGCATTAACACCACTCTGAATCGCTATTGAAAAGTTCACAAATGTGTTCAACAGTGGCCACTGCCTGTTGTACACCAGGGCTGAAGGTTGAAGCTGATCAAGGCGCACAGAAGGCAAAAACAATTAACAAGTTACTGAAACACACCTCTGTGGATACTTGTATTTTCAAGACTCATTTCTATTTTTTTTTAATTAAGGCTTTCAATTTTAACCAGAGTTATCATCCCAGGAAAATATCTAAGGAACTGAGCCCTATGGTGTGAAATACAAAAATACTTAACACTTAAAGATTTATAGAAAGCAAAACTTGTCATCAAAGATGGTCTTACCTCTGCCTTGTGAAATATATGATTATACTATTATACTATTCTGGATACTATGAATTGTCTAATTATTCGTTTCCAAATTATACATTCAACCAACATCTGTATCACTTAATGAAGGTTTATAAATTTTCTTACATAGGGTATAAAATTTAAACTATGCCCTTAGCTATGTACACTGAGAAAAAAGCATGAATAAATAAAATCTACCCAGATAAATTCAAAAGCTTATTTTCAACAATGGTATCCATCTTTTTTTCCTGCCAAGTTCCTAACTTTTGACCTCCTTCTGAGGAAGGCAGCTGTAAGCAAAAAAACCTAACAAGCAGATAGGAGGGGAAGCAGGGAAGCAGGAAAAAATCGAATAGGTAGTATGATTGTTCCTGAAAACATGATGGCGTCCGGTTATGATTTTATGTGGAGGTCAACACACTTTGAATGTTTCCAGAGTCATGGCGTTGCTCACACAGAGCCTTGGTCTTACATTTCAGCCACACCTGCCACATGGGGCCTGCTGCATGCCAAGCCTGTGCTGCAGGAGGGATAAGTGCTCTGCACCAGGGCGGCTGCGAACTCTTCCCAGTGCCCCAACATCCAGGCTTTGTGCTCCAGGTCTGGAGAGCCAGGACTCCGACTTTAGCTACTGCAGTGACTAGCTCTGGGCTTTGTCCACCAGCCCACGATCAATGATACTGGACAGACCGATTAGAATCCGAGTTGAGCTCTGGCTCCAGTCTATTTGATAGCTGACATCCACTGTGGTCTCATGTTATGGAGACTTTTTTTTTTTTTAAGTTTTAAAAAACTTATTTATTTTTTTTATTTTGAGAGAGAGAGAGATAAGAGTGAGTGTGTGTGTGTGTGTGTGTGTGTGTGTGTGTGGGCACAAGTGGGCAGAGAGAGACGGAGACACAGAATCAGAAACAGGCTCCAGGCTCTGCCCCAGAGCCCACTGTGGGGCTCGAACCCATGAGCCATGAGATCATGACCTGAGCTGAAGTCAGACACTTAACCGACTGAGCCACCCCAGGCACCCCCTGTGTTGCTTTTTCAAGAGGTCTTTCAACTGGTGTGAAAGTTTGCCTTCACTAGGCTTGCTCACATGCGGGGTTAATCATTGAAAAGACAGTAACATTTATTTAAAAGCAGCCCCAAAGACTCTTCATGCCTACAGAAAAGTTCAAAGCCTATTTTCTTTGGGAGAAAAATATATTTAATAAGAGGCAGTTCCTCTCTGCTCCCACACACCAGCAAGCTGAAATTGATGTGGAGTAAGGTGGAAGATGATCACTCTTCATTCCATATAGTTTTACTGTTTGAAATATTTCACTGAACATGTGCTTCTTTTCTAAGTTTTAAATAACAGAAATTAGAACAGTAATGGTAGGAGCACACAGCACTTCTCCTGCGTTCCTTTTCTCTACTGGACAGGCACACAGGGCTGCACCAAGAGCAGGGCTGGGGCCACACTGGCTGTGCTACACCTCAGCTGGGCCAGTGCCTCGTTGGGTGATCTTGCGAGTTACTTAACCTTTCTATCTTCAGTCTCCTCACTGGTGAGACTGAGGTAATGTTAGCACCCACCTCAGAAGGCTCCTGGGAGGATTAAATGAGTTAATATTCACAGCACACTTAAAACACCGCCGGCAGAGAGCACTTGCCCTGCACATCTTAGTTGTGGCTGGTTACCATTACCGTGATCATCATGGTGAAAATCAGGAGGCACAGAGCATGCAGTGAAGGTCTGATGCTAAAAGTATGATCTTGGGAGAGTGACCTAGCTCGGGAGGCCTCAGTTTTCTCATCTGTAAATTGGGAATAACTACTGATTTCACAGGGTTGCTGTGAGTATTAAGCAATACACTGTGCGTGTATAAAGCCCTAAACACAGAGCTTGACTTTCTCCAAGCGCTAAGTGGCAATGATTTTTATAATGAAAATTTGTGCAAATTGAAGGTTTTCTATATACTGTAGCAAAAAAAGGAAAAGAGGAAAAAACAAGGAAACAAAACACCTCTTTCCAATGAGGCTGATTCTCCATGCCACAAGGCTCCAGATTTGCCAGCTGGCCCACTTAAAATATTCCCATAAATGCCACCTGATTTTTTTTTTTTTAATTTTTTTTTTTTCAACGTTTATTTATTTTTAGGACAGAGAGAGACAGAGCATGAACGGGCGAGGGGCAGAGAGAGAGGGAGACACAGAATCAGAAACAGGCTCCAGGCTCTGAGCCATCAGCCCAGAGCCCGACGCGGGGCTCGAACTCACGGACCGCGAGATCGTGACCTGGCTGAAGTCGGACGCTTAACCGACTGCGCCACCCAGGCGCCCCGCCACCTGATATTTTAATATCTGAAGCACGAAGCCATTCACATTTAGTGGCATTTGTTTACAATAAACACATTGGTTGGAGTTTTTTAACTGTGTGTGAACACAGATGGCCATCTTGTCTTGGTTACTGTGGTGCCTGGGTGCCTACAATGGTGCCTCACACAGAGCAGGTACAGAGGAGTTTTTCTTGAATGACATGAACAAATGAACCGAGGACAAATCTGGAAGTGCTTTTGCTTTGTTGGAGTATTTTTGTGTATAGGAGGCCCACTTGAGTATGTTTTAGCACTCTCTCCAGTTGCTGGGCTGACCTGGCTTCCAGTCCTGACTCCTCCCTAGGTGACCTCAGATAACTCCCTGAAACTCACGGAGACCGATTCCTCTTCCTGAATCTTTCAGGTTCCTTGCAGCTCCAGCATTCCCCATTATAAGGAATTCCCTCGTGCACAGCCCTGAGTTTACAGCACTTGGCAGTGATCAATATTCAGCATCACCCCTCACTTAGAATTTACTCTAAGACAATATAGGCAATTTGAGCAATCATACAAAGAAAGAGAACTGACACAACCGAGCCTTACAATTCCATTGAGATGGTTCCTGCTTATGTCTACTTCCACTGTCAACTCCCAGTCCCCTGCACTGGTTGGAACTGAGGGGCATGCCTCCATTTGAGCCTATGAATATGGTTAGTGTACACATGACTTCAATGCAAAATCCACTGTGGAAACGAGAGAGAAACAGGACAAATGGAAAGTGTGAAGCACACGTGGAAGGAGTGAAAGAAAGCTCTTGCCGTACATGCACTGAAAAAGCAAAGTCTGCACCACCGAAGGGGTCCTGCTGCTGAGCACAGAAGGTAGAGAGGGACAATGTGGGAAAAGCGAATGCCCACATCCAACAATACACCAGCAGACCCAGCAGACCTTGGGATGGTTGTTTTCACAAACAACCACACACAAATCACTGCCAGCTTTTCTCAGATGCACTGGGTGGCTGTGGACTGATCCCAGCAGCCCGGTGGCAGGGACCTACCTTGCAGTGTGTGGTGCTGACAGGAAGTCCGATGTTGGAGGCGATCACCACCGTGAACGCGGAGGCCAGCTCAATGGTGAAGCCGCTGCGGGAGGGGGCACAAGAGACACATCACAGGCACTCTTTGTATCAGCCTCACTGACACCCCAGGGGTGCCAGAGTCTCACCAGAACATTCTTTGGGTCGATTGTTGGCTGCTGACTGGGCCAGATGACATTAACAGAAAAGAAACTGCTGCATAATGACAACAATTCACACTAAGACTGTGCATTATACTGTTTACAGCCCTAAATAGGCTTCTCTTTCTGGTATGTTTTCAAAAAGCACACACTGTAGTAACTGGGTCAGAAATTCCTGCTGTGCAAAAAATGCTAAATTAGTCACTTCTAAAGTGGCAGGAAAAAAATCACACTCTCATTTCTAAAATGTGTACTTATTGCAAAAAAAAGTGAATTTTTTTCTCAGATTGCTCATTTTTCTTCAAATCAACCTTACAAAAGAATCATTCATTAAAATGAATTTCAAGGGGGAAAAACTGCTCACAATAAGTAGTTACAAGTCTTAGTAGTTTTCGCAAAGTTCTCCCATAAGTCTGCACTTCACCCCTACTAGATCCGAAGAGGACACCACAGAAGGACCACACAGAGCCCGGACGGGTACTGAGCTACAGGCAGCCTGCACAGCGGAACCGCGAAGCGTGGTAGCCCAGAGCTGCTTCCATCCAGCAGGTGAAGCCCGGGGCGGCAAATTTTCCGGAAACGCAGACCCAGGGCCCAGGGCCGTTGGCATCCCCTGGGTCCTCACCACTCGCCCTCTGGGCCTCCTGTGGGGTGAGACCAGCCGGGGGCATGGCCGGGGCCTGGCCTGGGGGGCTCCCTTCCCTTCTGTTTCCTTGAGCTTCTCTGGCTCCTGCATCCCCAGCGTCTCAAATCCTCTCCCTCACCGCAGTGCCGCCGTGGCCAGCTGAGGTGTGAGGGAAGGAGGGCGAGGACAGACGGTCGGCCCTCTCCTCACTGTGACCCCAGCTGCCCAGTGGCTGCGCTGAGGGGTTGGAGGCAGACGTTCAGGCATAGAAGAGCCGGGAAGGACAACCCTGCCGATCCCGCCCGCGCTCTGGCTTACCTCGATGGTGTGATGGGGGTGAGGTCCTTCCCCATGGTCTGGATCACTCTTCTCCCCCAGACCCACAGACCCGTACAAATTCCAACTCCTCCATAAAACAGCAGCCAGACGGGGGTAACTGCTTCCTGCAGGACTGCACCTTGCTCGTAAATCAGCCACAAAGCTACCAGGGGACCAATGGCATTACTGGGAGGGAAAAGAAGATGAATGACACAGACATTGTATGTACGTGTACACAACATGCAGTGACTTCCCAGGCTTGAGGAAAGCCCACCTGACTGTATTTCTGGCTCCGCATATAATCTTGTGGTGATTAAAATGATTTATTATTTTTTGTTGTGGTGGTGGAAAAAAACCATAAAAATCTACTATTTTAACCATTTTAAGTGTATATAATTCAGTAGTGTTAAGCGTGTTCACACTGTTGTGAAATACATCTCCAGGACTTTCTCATCTGGCAAAACCCATTAAACAGTAAGTCCCTTTGCCCGCCACCCAGCCCCTGCGAACGGCCATTTTACATTTCTATCCATGTGACTACTCTAGGTGCCTCATAGAAGTAGCGTCATTAAGTGTGTGTCTTTTGTGGCAGGCTTATTCCACTTAGCATTATGTCCTCAAGAGTCCTCCATGTTGTAGCCACAGGTCAGAATTTGCTCCCTTCTCAAGGCTGGACATTCCATGGTATGTATAGACCACATCTGCCTACACATTCATCTGACTGTGTACACTTAGGTTGCTCCCACCTCTTGGCTACTGTGAATGATGCTGCAATGAACATGGGTGTACAAATATCCCTTCAAGACCCCGCTTTCGATTCTTCTGGGTACATACTCAGAGGTAAGATTGCTGGATCAGATGGGAGTTCTATTTTTAATGTTCTGAGGAACCTCCAGACTGTCTTCCATAGCAGCTGCACCAATTTACATTCCCACTAACAGCACACAAAGGTTCCAATTTCTCTACATCCTCACCAACACTTGTTATTTTCTGATTTTTTAAATAATTTATTCATTTTTTAATTTACATCCAAGTTAGCATACAGTGCAACAATGATTTCAGGAGTAGATTCCCTAATGCCCCCTACCCATTTAGCCCAGCCCCCCTCCCACAACCCTTCCAGGAACCCTCTGATTGTTCTCCATATTTAAGGGTCTCTTACATTTTGTCCCCCTCCCTGTTTTTATCTTATTTTTGCTTCTCTTCCCTTATGTTCATCTGTTTTGTATCTTAAAGTCCTCATCTGAGTGAAGTCATTCTGTTTTTTTTTATAGTAGCCACCTTAATGGGTGTGTGATGTATTAATTTTTTAAAGAAGCACTGAAACATCATAAGAAGTGGAAACAAATACCAAGTTCTTTTTTCTCTGTTTTTCTCCATTTTCATTACCAGCATTGCTACTAATAGTAGCTACCAGTCTGGGCAGCCATATCAGGTCCCACACGATGGGACCACAAACATGGTCTCTGTTAGTTCTCAAACCCATCCTGCAGTTAGGTATTGTCGCTCCCATTTTATTGATGAGGAAATGGATGCTAAAGTCGTGGCACTAGCAGGAGGCAGGACTCAGGTGCTCATGCCCTTTCTCCTCAACCTGCTCTTGTCACTCAGGCCCTTGGCAGGCACATATGGATGGTTTTAGGGGATGCACAGTTTTTTGAAAAAATTTTTAATTAAGACTTTATTCCTTTAGAGCAGTTTAAGGCACACAGTGAAACTGAGGGGAAGGTAGAGCTTGCCCATTTACCTGCCCCACACATTCACAGCCTCACCATTATCCACATCGCCACCACAGTGGAACATTTGTTGTAAGTGATGAACCTTGGGGCTCCTGGGTGGCTCAGTCAGTTAAGTGTCCGACTCTCGATTTTGGCTCAGGTCATGGTCTCACAGTTCATGAGATCGAGCTTCACAGTGAGCTCTGCACTGATATCGCAGAGCCTGCTTGGGATTCTCTCTCTCTGTCTCTCTCTGCCCCTCTCCTGCTTGTGCCCTGTCTCTCCTTAAAATAAATAAACAAACTTAAAAAAAAAGTGATGAACCTCCAAGGACACATCATTATCATCCAAAGTCCACAGTTTACATTAGAGTTCACCCTTGGTGTTGTACATTCTGTAGGTTTGGACAAATGTATAATGACCCGTAGCCATCTTTATAGCCTCATACAGAGTGTTTTCAGTGCCCTAAAAATCCCCTGTGTGTATTCATCCCTCTTCCCCACCACAACCCCTAATCTTTTCACTGTCTCCATAGTTCTGCCTTTTCCAGAATGTCATATAGTTAGACATTCATACAGAACGTAACTGTTCAGATTGGCTTCTTTCACTTAGTAATATGGTTTACGTTTCCTACATGGCTTGGTAGCTCATTTCCTTACAAGTACTGAAAAAGATTCCATTGGCTGTATCACATTTATTTATCCCTTCATCTACCAAAGAACATCTTGGTTACTTCCAAGTTTTGGTAATTGGGTATAAAGATACTATAAAATCTGTGTGCAGGTTTTTGAATGGACCTCAGTTCTCGACTCCTTTGAGTAAATACCAAGGAGCATGAATTACTGGATCACATGGTAAGAGTATGTTGGGTTTTGTAAGAAGCCTCCAAACTGTCTTCCCAAGTGGCTGTCCCATTTTGCACTCCCTCCAGCAACGAATGAGTTCCTGTTGCTCCACAGCCTTGTCAGCATTTGGTGCTGTCAGGGTTCCGTACTTTGGCCATCCTAACAGTTCATAGTAGTATCTCATTGTTTTAATTTGCATTTCCTTAATGACACGATGTGGAATATCTTTTCATATGTTTGTTTGCCTTCTGTGTCTCTTCTTTGGCAAGGTGTCTGGTAATGTGTTGGGCTCATTTTTTAATTGGGTTGTTTTCTTATTGTTGAGTTTTAAGAGTTCTTTGTATATTACTATTTTATCAGCTACATCTTTTGCAAATATCTTCTGTTTCTGGCTTGTCTTCTCATTCTCTTGACACTTTCATCATGCAGAAATTTCTAATTTTAATGAAGTCCAGTTTATCTAGTAGGATTGTGCCCTTGGTATTGTATCTAAAGAGTCATTTCCATACCCAAGGTCATCTAGGTTTATTCTTGTGTTATCTACCAGGAGTGCTATAGTTTTTCACTTTACATTTAGGGTTGTGATCCATTTTCAGTCACTTTTTGTAAAGAGTGTAAGGTCTGCATGCAGATTGGTTTTTTTGCACATGGATATCTAGTTGTTCCAGCACCATTTGTTGAAAAGACTCTCTGCTCCCCTGTATTTCCTTTGCTCCTTTGTCAAAGATCAGTTGACTATATTTATGGGAGTCTATTTCTGGGCTCTATTCTGTTTTACTGATTAATCTTTTCTCTCAGCAATACCACACTGTCTTGATTACTGTAGTTATATCGTAAGTCTTGATGTTGGGTAGTGTCAGTCCTTCAACTTTGTCCCACTCTTTCAAGGCAGTGTTGGCTACTCCAGGTCTTTTGCCTTTATCAACTTTACAATCAGTTTGCTGATATCCACAAAATAACTTGCTGGGACTGCACTGTATTTATAAATCAAGATAGGAAGAACTGACATCTTGACAATACTGAGTCTTTCTATCCTTGAACATGGAAAATCGATTTATATCATTCTTTAATTTTATTCATCAGCTTCGCAGAAATATTTCACTATGTGGATGGTTTTCTGTTTTTAATTTCAAATGCCACTTGTTCATTACTGGTATGTAGGAAAGCAATGGACTTTTGTATATTAATCTCGTATTCTGCAACCTTGCTCTAACTGCTTATTCATTTCAGGAGTTTGTTGATTCTTTTCAATTTTTTACATAAATGATCATGTCATCTGTAAACAAAGGCAGTTTTCTTTCTTTCTTCCCATTCTGTATATCTTTTATTTCCTTTTCTTCTCCTATGCATTAGCTAGAATGCTATGCATTCAGTATAAGCTGAAAAGGAGTGGTAAAAGAGGACATCCTTGCCTTGCTCCCGATCTCAGTGGGAAAGCTTTGAGTTTTTCACCATTAAGTATAATGTTAGCTGTAGGTCTTTTGTGAATATTCTTTATCAAGTTGAGGAAGTTCCCCTTTATTCCTAGTTTACTGAGAGGTTTTATCATGAATAGGTGGTGAATTCTGTTAACTCCTTTTTAGCCTATTGATGTGATGGATTACATTAACTGATTTTTGAGTGTTGAAGCAGCCTTCTTTATCTGGGATAAATATCACTTGGTCATGGGGCACCTGGATGGCTCAGTCAGTTGAGTGTACGACTTCAGCTCAGGTCATGATCTAATGGTTCGTGGGTTCAAGCCCCACATCTGGCTCGCTGCTGTCAGCATGAAGTCCACTTTGGATCCTCTGTCCAACACCCCCCCCCCGAAAATAAATAAACATTAAAAATATATATATCATTTGGTCATGGTGACCAAATGGTCATGGTCATTCTTTTTATATATTGCTGGATTCAATTTGCTACTTATTTTGTTGAGGATTTGTACATCCATGTTCATGAAGGATACTGGTCTATAGTTTTCTTTTATGTTAATGTCTTTCTCTGGTTTGGGTAATAAGGTAATACTGGCCTTAGAGAGTAAGTTAGGAAGTATTCCTTCTACTTCTATCCTTTGAAAGACATTGTAGAGAATTGGTATAATTTCTGCCTTAAATATTTGGTAGAATTCACCAGTGAACCCATCTGGGCCTGGTGCTTTCTATTTTGGAAGTTATTAATTACTGATTTGATCTCTTTAATAGGTACGGGTCTATTCAGAGTGTCTATTTCTTCTTTTGTGAGTTTTGGCAAAGTGTGTCATTCAAGGAATTAGTCCTTTTCATCTAGGTTATCAAATGTAAGGGCACAAAATGGTTTATAGCATTATCTTTTTAATGTCCATAGAATATATAGTGAAGACCTGATTTCTGATATTAGTAATTTGTGTTTTTCTTAGTCTGGCTAGAGGCTTATCAACTGATCTTTCAAAAAATTATCCTTTGGTTTCACAGATTTTCTCTTCTGATTTCCTGATTTCAATTTCACTGATTCATGTTCTAATTCTTATTATTTCTTCTGCTTACTTTGGATTTAATTTTCTCCTCTTTTTCTAGTTTCCTTGGGTGGGAATTGAGAATACTGATTTTATGTATTTGTTTTTCCTAATATATGTGTTCAATGGTATAAATTTCCTTTTTAGCACTGCTGCATCCCATAAATTTTGATGAGTTTTCCTTTTTTCATTTTTTAATGTTTTTTCATTTTTTTTTAGAGAGAGAGAGAGAGACTGTGAGGGAAGGGCAGAGAGAAAGGAAGACACACAATCTGAAGCAGGCTGTAGGCTCTGAGCTGTCAGCACAGACCCTAATGTGGATTCTTTTTTTTTTTTTATGTTTATTTTTGAGAGAGACAGAGAGTATGCAAGGAAAGGGCAGAGAGAGAGGGAGACACAGAATCCAAAGCAGCGTTCAGGCTCTGACACGGGGCTCTAACCCATGAACTCTGAGACCATGACCTGAGCCAAAGTTGGATGCTTAACCGACTGAGCCACCCAAGTACCCCCCAATGCAGATTCTTTTTTTTTAATTAAATTAAATTAAATTAAATTTAATTTAATTTAATTTAATTTAATTTTTTAATATGAAATTTATTGTCAAATTGG